AAGTTAATAAGTCAATCATTTACAACAAGTAAAAGATGATAGTCTTAATGTATATTGATTTCCATTCTAATCGAATATAGAGATAATTAAGTTTTTGAAAAATGTAAAATTACGCGATACATATGTTATAAATGTCATCTAAATAAAATAGCAGCTACAACTCGAATACAATTATAAGAAAGACTAGAAGAAGATTTAGCAACAATTGTAAAAACAAACCAATGCTATAAAGTAAAATAATCAATAGAAATTGAATTCGTACTAAAGATTGATCATAATTTATCATTAAATATGTGAATTATCAAAAATATATTGAAACCAATGAATAAGAGTATATTTACCCAAAATATAGTCTCATCTTCGTTATTGGCTAATATATATGAAGATTAATGAGAATTGGACACTTTAATGAAATGAACTTTCACATAGTCTCTTCAATCAAAACGATGTATATCTTTCGTTACCTAATTACAATAAATCTTCAACGCATGCAAGAGTAATTGGTTTTATTTGAAGATGACGTATAGAACAATTAAAAAAAATGTAATATAAACAATATATTAATGAATCATTAAGTCTTACATATAGGATAGTATTACTTAGTAAACATAACTATTTAGCAGTTTTCAACGAACTCGTGAAAAATTATATTTTGACAAGGAACGAAAGAAAAGAAATGCAGCATCTACTTTTAAGGTAGAACTGGTTTATTATTAGTTGAACAAATCAAACGCGAATTTATCAAATATCAAAGAGCTTTCCAAATTTTGTACTAATGTGCACCGTAGTATTCAACATCAGCGAACATTCATCCTCATTTTGCCTGGTGGCCTTATGATCTCTCGGTGAGTTCCGTGCTGAACAAATGCCTATCCTTATAGAATATGCTTTGACTGTAAGGAGTGCCGCTGTTGGAGCGGAAAGGTCAAAGGAAGAGAAGCCTCGCAGCATTCCCTGAAAGTAATATCCACACTATTAAGCCTAGCAGCAACGACGCCTTCGACAAGCTTGATATACCAATCCGTCCATCTCAAGATGATAAAACCAATTCAAGCACCGGAATGAACCTATTCGATATTTGACTACCTACGGTATAAGAGCTGATATACTTCAGTCATTTATTTTAGGTTAAAATATTTATTCTCTGAATTACCGTACAATACTAACGAAATTAGTTTCATTACACAAAAGAAAAATAATCGTCAACATGCGTGCACTTCAAAATAGATCAGAAAGATCGAAATCTCAAGATCGAAAATTCAGCTCACTGATACATTTACTATTTTATACACTAACAATATAAAGATTCATCGGTACATTGCGGAAGTTTTGAAAACAGAAAGATGTCGACTTTTTGTTATAATTATTCAGAGTACAAAATCACGGCTTACTTTCAGAAGCAAACAAATGCGTAAATATGATAGCGTCCATACAATCAGCTCCAATACGTACAGACACCTACCTATGCTGTTGGCAAAACTAATATCGATACGTTTAAACTTATTTCTAATAAAGTGGTAAAGATGAATTGTCATATAATTGTAGTATTAGAATATGAAGTATTAGTTGGTGTAAGAATCTGGAGTAGTAAGCGCAACTCATTAAAACTTTTCCCTACTAAGTAACTGATTAGTTAGAAATAACTACAAATAGAAAAGAAAAAATACTTTATTAATATTATAAATATTGTTATACCGGTACACAAAAATTTAATCTAAATTTACAGTAATATAGTATACTTAAGAATATAATACTGTGATTTAATGGATTGTAAAATAATGTATATTAGGTTAAAAAGAAAATATAAATACTAATTGTGTAAATAATTTGATAATTATTAATAAAATATAAATATTATAACTTACAAATATCAAAAAATATTACGCATATTATATAATGATGCTAGATATTATAAATTAATGTGATTATTATTGTTGCAATTAGAAAAGCATAAGAAATACAAATAATAATTATGCTTAAAATATTGAAAATACATAGAAAAATAATTTACGTTATATACTTAGTCGATAAAAAGATAAAATAAACCTTTCATATATGTATTTTATATGTATACGAATATATGTATATATATATATAAAAAAAAAATATATATATATATATATATATATATATATATATATATACCTATTCTTCAGTCTATTTCATACAAGCAAAATATGATTTTACATTATATTTAGATAAAGTTGAAAACATTTTTAATATCGAATAGAACATAAAATATTGGGCTAAATTAGAAATGTACACATGAGGCACAGTATTATACCTAATGATGAAATTAATTAATTCTTTCTACCTACAGTAGCGTTAAAAATAATTTTATTATAGCATTGTTTTATACTTTCACATTGAATAGCTGTTAAGCTCTTTCAGAACCTTTCTCTATTTTTCTTTCAGGCGTCAATGCAATCAACATGTCCCCAGCCATAAATAATTTAAACCGGTGATTATATCTGATTCAATGTTTCTGTTTCTGATAATTAGTCGTCCCACCTGCTTAATATCATCCTCTGATTTCTATTTTAATTGAGCTGATGTACGTCTTTTCGACTTGTTCTTACTTTATTCCAATTACCTTTATTTATACGCTTTATTAATACACATCATTCGTACTCTTTCAAGTTTCGATTTCCAACTATATTATCAGTTTTCTGTTCAGTTACAACCAATCAAAATAAATATAAAAAATAGAAAAGTAATACACAGTGTACAAAGATGAAATAACTATCGTTTATCCGCTTGAATCGATCTCTCAAATACGACGATTCACATGAATGTTATTTAAGCATCCCATTTTCGTATCATTGACCCCGATAAAAAAATGATCAGCGATGATAAAAACATACAGTAAATGCCTATCGAAACACACACACTTTATTTAAAATAAAAAAATATAAGTAAGTAATAGTCACCGAATAAGGCAATGAGTAAAAAAAGTTATAAATGAATTATTACATAAGAAATTATTTACACAGTACAATTTCAAATAATAAATAAAAATAGAAATTATCTATTAAGCCATTATCACCAGATATTAAAATCTATGATGATATTGTAATTCTGGTTTTCAAATTTCTAACAGTAATTTAATAATTAATTCATTTCGTCTGCGCAGTATAATATTTCATAAAAAATAACGTTTCTCGAATAATTTAAATAGTATATCGAAAGTTTATGATTTCTGTTTTCAAAACAAATTTCATTTATTCCAACATTCTAAACAAATTTTATAAAATTGTTAACTTTCTCAACAAAACAATATATTCTCTTTCACTAAGGTTTCCATGTATTTTATATATGCATCTTCTTTATAATTTTTACACTAGTAACACTTATGGGCGATGGGATTCTTATGAGCTCATAAAATTATATTTGCAGTTCTTTGCAAGTACTTTATTGAAAAGTGAAACATAGAAAGCTATTATAAGTTTCTGAATTTGGACGATGGCCGTCTAAGGTGAGATTCATTAATGTTAGAAATAGAAAAACGTGAAAGCCTAGAGGGCATAATAATTATGGGTAGTAAAAGAGATATCGATAATGGAATCCATTGTCGTGTATGGACTGGAGCTTCATCAAAGCCGATTTCCGACAGCATAAGGTGCATGCTGGAGTCTTTTCTCGATCTTGTTTGGTTAAACGAGGGTGGCCGCGAGGAGTGTGTCGTTGATGCGCATCCGCAAGAATATATCCCCGTGAGCTCTTCGTGTCGTTCGTTCGATGCCGCGGGGGTTCTAGTGATGGGAGGGTGGAGACCGGCAGGCAGACAAGAAGAAGAAAAGCGATAGAGGGAAGCATGTACAGACCAACCCCACTGGCACCTAAGCGCCGGCGTTATCGCCTCAGCCACCACCGCCACCACCGTTGCCACCACCGCCACCGGCGACGCCGACGCCGTCGTTTCCACCACCATTGAATGCGGCGCGTGCGCGGAATGACTTTTCATCCCCGTTGAGGGTTGGAGGCGAGGAACTCCGGGTGGTAGGGAAGGACAACGCCGAGTGTCTCTGGGGGCTGCGGTGACCTGGGGTAGGGAGGCGCTCAAGGAGCGGTCTCGATCGTCTCGTCTCGCTCGTTCCCGCCCGGGTCGCCACGACGTCAGCCCCACCAGACGGCGCACTCTACCACCACCCCGACGATGCCGTCGTCCGCGGTGGCGGTGGCACGGCTCCACTGCCCGGGACTCCACGGTCGTCCCATTCCGTTCTCGGCGCCGCAGCCCGAAGCATCGCGTGCAACATCCGTGTCAACCCTTTATAGAGATACGGTGCAAGAGTGAAAGAGAGCAAGAGAGCGAGAGAGCGAGAGAGCGAGAGAGCGAGTTAGCGAGAGAGATAGATAGAAGGGGAAGTGGGAGAGATAGAGGGAGAGAAAGGGAGAGAGAGAGAGAGAGAGAGAGAGAGAGAGAGAGAGAGAGAGCGCGCGGAGACAAGTGAGACAGAGACCGAGGAAGTGAGTAGGAAGTGGCCGTGAAAGGGTGAGGGAGGTGAGTTCGCGCGCATCGCATTTCTCCGCTATCCGCAATCACCGCCACGAGCGAGCGCCAGCTTCCACGACACGCACGCACACTCGATCGACCTCTGCCTCTGTTCAAGCCTGTGTAAAACGCGCGCGCGCGCGCGTGTGCATTAATATACATATTATTTAATAAGTGGCTCTGTGCATATATAAACACATTTTCACACAAGAACACGCATATAAGCTCCCATACTCGCGCACACAGACATAGGCACAAACAAACACACACGCATACACACCCAGTCATACACATAATACGTATTTTAAAAAAATAAACACGCCCACAGACACACATTCGCGTGCACGCACACACGCGCGCGCACGCACACACGCGCACATATATATATATATATATATATATATATATATATATATATATATATATATACTTATATTTACATATGTATGTATGCGCACGTAAATATATATGCATATATAAAAAAGGGAAGAGAGAGACGGGCACGAGTGCACTAATGCACGTGCGCCCTCGCGTACTTACATTATAAGAAGCGGGTGCACGTAAGGAGCTTCCTCGCAATCCTGTCTTGTGTGCATCGATTTTGGTTGTGCAGTTGCTCTTGGTGTATGTTGTCCGTGTGGACGACGTTATTCGTTCCCGTCGGAAGCTTTGTGAGACCGGGAATCAGTGCGCGGGAGTGAAATCGCACCAACAGGTAACGGCGGCTATTGCGGCCGGGGGCGCGAAGCAAAAACACGAAGGAGCGTGAGTGGCGAACCAGGAGCCAGCGTTAATCCTGCAGTCGTAGGCCGTCGGCCGATTCTGTCATTTCACTGAACAGCGTCGATCAAAGTGTACAAAACGGCGGTCACCACTTACATAACACCTCTCATCACATCTGAGAAGGTACTTAAGATACGTCACTACGTTTGAACGAAGCGTTTCCAGTGTCCTTTAAAATTTGTGCACGCTCGAATTTTCATAAATTCAATATATCATTGTTTATATCGTGATGTAGCACCAGTGTTCACCAAGGTCGCCGAGTAAGGAGCTAAGTGAATTGTTAAGTTTATATGTGTATACCTTTCTACGTTATATTGAAAGCTGTATCCCTTCGTGTACTACATTCAATTTTATATAAAATGTGTTCAATTAAAGTGTCTT